AAATACCTGTCGATATAAACTTCTCCATCGGTATCGACAAAAAACCGGTTATTGATGTTGTGGATTGAGCTGAAAGTAAGGAAATAAGCAATGCTGTATTTTCTTTTCAATAAATTTAGTTCGGTCGCTACCCACAAAAGTTTTCTATTAGCTTCTAACACGATTGATAAGTTTGCTTGGTAGTGAAAGTATACAAGGATCATAAAAGCCCCATATCGAACGACAAGGACATCATCTACATCAGTATCATCTATAGCACATCTACATCGATCATATTATCATCTAGCATCGATCGATGATCTATCGACTATCGATCTATCTAGAATCGATCTACAGATCTAGCATCGATCAATCTATCGATCGATCTATCTATCTAGCTATCTATCTATCTGATCGAGCTATTATCTATCTATATCTATCTATCTATCTATCTATCTATCTATCTATCTATCTATCTATCTATCTATCTATCTATCTATCTATCTATCTATCTATCTATCTATCTATCTATCTATCTATCTATCTATCTATCTATCTATCTATCTATCTATCTATCTATCTATCTATCTATCTATCTATCTATCTATCTATCTATCTATCTATCTATCTATCTATCTATCTATCTATCTATCTATCTACCTATCTATCTATCTATCTATCTATCTATCTATCTATCTATCTATCTATCTATCTATCTATCTATCTATCTATATATCTATCTGTCTATCTATCTATCTATATCTATATCTATCTATCTATATCTATCTATCTATCTATCTATCTATCTGTCTATCTATCTATCTATATCTATCTATCTATCTATCTATCTATCTATATCTATCTATCTATCTATCTATCTATCTACCTATCTATCTATCTATCTATCTATCTATCTATCTATCTATCTATCTATCTATCTATCTATCTATCTATCTATCTATCTATCTATCTATCTATCTATCTATCTATCTATCTATCTATCTATCTATCTATCTGTCTATCTATCTATCTATTATCTATCTATCTATCTATCTATCTACTTAGGTTTATTCCCACCTTAAACATTAACAGTTGTCAAATTTTTAAATTTATACAAACTAACGGTCATTATTCGAATGCATTAAAACAACAAGCTTTACTCTCTTCCTCGTTGTCTCTTTCTGGTACTAAAAGCTTTTTCCTATATAAATGACTCTCAAATTTTCTTTATTTCCTGCCAGTGATGGCAAAATTATAACAAAAATACCGTTTTTTCGTACAATTCGATTCTTAAAAGTACCATAAAAAATAAATAAAATCGATCGCTTAGAAAGTCCACATGTGATAAACTTCGATCAAGTTACTCATTAATATTTTCTTCAAAATCCTGCGAATTAATTAAAAAAATAAGGAAAAGGTATTGAAATTTATATAGATTTAAAAAAAATCTCTTAACAAAGTATCTGCAAACATAGTTGTACTTAATACGTACCCAAACAATTACTAATTTACCAACACTGATATAATTTGCAAAATCAAAACAAATTCTTTACCAAACGCAATAGAAATTTCCACCGGTTTCTTTTAATCGCAAATTTTGCAATAACTACAAACTTACCTTTAAAAATTCCTCACTCAAATGCTGTTTTTGTGAAAAATCAACAAATCTATTTGAAAAATAGAAAAAATATTAAATTATGTAAGCAAATCACAATGATTATTATAAAATATTGCAACTTACTTTAAATCCAAATCAAGACCAATTAATTTAGCAGTAATCATACAAGTTCTAGCTGGAGGACTAAATAGGGCATAATATAATGTGGGTTTACTCATTGTAACGTCTTAAGTTTATTTATTAGAAATAAACAACAATTTGAGTTTTGTTCTTTTGCTTTAGTAAACCAGTCCGGTGGCCTATATAATGAAAATGTTTATTTGTTGATGATTTACGAAAAACTAACAAACAAGAAGACCCCATGAAAATTTCGTTGAAAGCTTTTTCAGATGTTTTTATAAGCTTTTTTTATAAATAAAATCATATGTAGCAGAGATGTAAAGAAAAACAAACATTGGTATGTAGTACTAATCAGAAGGATAGGTAAATAAGTACTTTCTGTTGAAAGCACAATAGGCTCCGAACTGAAAACGCTGAAAGCACCAGGAATTACACATCAATCGTTATAAAACATTGATTATAGTAACTGTTTAATAGAATTGGGATGGTTTTCAATTTACCCACTTTGGAGTCATCTAAACTCTTTCTGGTTGAGTTTATGTGGTCCAAACTCAAAACTTAATTCCAGTTCCATTTCAGTTCTAGTTAAGTTCTTGAACAATTCCAGTTCAGTTTTACTTCTATTCTAGATCAGTTTTAGTTCAGTCCTTGTTCAGTTCAGTTCTAGTTGAGTTCTAGTCCAGTTCTAGTTTAGTTCTAGTTCTGTTCTAATTCAGTTCTAATTCAGTTCTAGTTCTGTTCTAATTCAGTTCTAGATCAGTTCTAGTTCAGTTCTAGTTCAGTTCTAGTTCAGTTCTAGTTCAGTTCTAGTTCAGTTCTAGTTCAGTTCTAGTTCAGTTCTAGTACAGTTCTAGTTCAGTTCTAGTTCAGTTTTAGTTCAGTTCTAGTTCAGTTCTAGTTCAGTTCTAGTTCAGTTCTAGTTCAGTTCTAGTTCAGTTCTAGTTAAGTTCTAGTTAAGTTCTAGTTCAGTTCTAGTTCAGTTCTAGTTCAGTTCTAGTTCAGTTCTAGTTCAGTTCTAGTTCAATTCTAGTTCAGTTCTAGTTCAGTTCTAGTTCAGTTCTAGGTTAGTTCTAGGTCAGTTCTAGTTCAGTTCTAGTTCAGTTCTAGTTCAGTTCTAGGTCAGTTCTAGGTCAGTTCTAGTACAGTTCTAGTTCAGTTCTAGTTCAGTTCTAGTTCAGTTCTAATTCAGTTCTAGTTCAGTTCTAGTTCAGTTCTAGGTCAGTTCTAGGTCAGTTCTAGTTCAGTTCTAGTTCAGTTCTAGTTCAGTTCTAGTTCAGTTCTAGTTCAGTTCTAGTTCAGTTCTAGGTTAGTTCTAGGTCAGTTCTAGTTCAATTCTAGTTCAGTTCTAGTTCAGTTCTAGGTCAGTTCTAGGTCAGTTCTAGTACAGTTCTAGTTCAGTTCTAGTTCAGTTCTAGTTCAGTTCTAATTCAGTTCTAGTTCAGTTCTAGTTCAGTTCTAGTTCAGTTCTAGTTCAGTTCCAGTTTAGTTCTAGTTGTGTTCTCGTTCAGTTCTAGTTCAGTTCTAGTTCAGTTCTTGTTCAGTTCTAGTTCAGTTTTAGTTCAGTTCTAGGTTAGTTCTAGGTCAGTTCTAGTTCAGTTCTAGTTCAGTTCTAATTCAGTTCTAGTTCAGTTCTAGTTCAGTTCTAGTTCAGTTCTAGTTCAGTTCTAGTTCAGTTCTAGTTCTAGTTCTAGGTTAGTTTTAGGTCAGTTCTAGTTCAGTTCTAGTTCAGTTCTAATTCAGTTCTAGTTCAGTTCTAGTTCAGTTCTAGGTTAGTTCTAGGTCAGTTCTAGTTCAGTTCTAGTTCAGTTCTAGTTCAGTTCTAGGTCAGTTCTAGGTCAGTTCTAGTACAGTTCTAGTTCAGTTCTAGTTCAGTTCTAGTTCAGTTCTAGTTCAGTTCTAATTCAGTTCTAGTTCAGTTCTAGTTCAGTTCTAGTTCAGTTCTAGTTCAGTTCCAGTTTAGTTCTAGTTGTGTTCTCGTTCAGTTCTAGTTCAGTTCTAGTTCAGTTCTTGTTCAGTTCTAGTTCAGTTTTAGTTCAGTTCTAGTTCAGTTCTAGTTCAGTTCTAGTTCAGTTCTAGTTCAGTTCTAGTTCAGTTCTAGTTCAGTTCAGTTCTAGTTCAGTTCTAGTTCAGTTCTAGTTCAGTTCTAGTTCAGTTCTAGTTCAGTTCTAGTTCAGTTCATTTCTAGTTCAGTTCTAGTTCAGTTCTAGTTCAGTTCTAGTTCAGTTCTAGTTCAGTTCTAGTTCAGTTCTAGTTCAGTTCTAGTTCAGTTCTAGTTCAGTTCTAGTTCAGTTCTAGTTCAGTTCTAGTTCAGTTCTAGTTCAGTTCTAGTTCAGTTCTAGTTCAGTTCTAGTTCAGTTCTAGTTCAGTTCTACTTCAGTTCTAGTTCAGTTCTACTTCAGTTCTAGTTCAGTTCTAGTTCAGTTCTAGTTCAGTTCTAGTTCAGTTCTAGTTCAGTTCTAGTTCAGTTCTAGTTCAGTTCTAGTTCAGTTCTAGTTCAGTTCTAGTTCAGTTCTAGTTCAGTTCTAGTTCAGTTCTAGTTCAGTTCTAGTTCAGTTCTAGTTCAGTTCTAGTTCAGTTCTAGTTCAGTTCTAGTTCAGTTCTAGTTCATTTCTAGTTCAGTTCTAGTTCAGTTCTAGTTCAGTTCTAGTTCAGTTCTAGTTCAGTTCTAGTTCAGTTCTAGTTCAGTTCTAGTTCAGTTCTAGTTCAGTTCTAGTTCAGTTCTAGTTCAGTTCTAGTTCAGTTCTAGTTCAGTTCTAGTTCAGTTCTAGTTCAGTTCTAGTTCAGTTCAGTTCTAGTTCAGTTCTAGTTCAGTTCTAGTTCAGTTCTAGTTCAGTTCTAGTTCAGTTCTAGTTCAGTTCTATTTCAGTTCTAGTTCAGTTCTAGTTCAGTTCTAGTTCAGTTCTAGTTTAGTTCTAGTTCAGTTCAGTTTTAGTTCAGTTCTAGTTCAGTCCTTGTTTAGTTCTAGTTGAGTTCTAGTTAAGTTCTGGTTCAGTTCTAGTTCAGTTCATGTTCAATTCTATATTTTTCGATTCGATATTTTGTCAAATATCGCCGGTTAATGAAAAAATCGTCGTTTTTTACAAAATAAGTTTTTTATTATTTTTTTTTATTATAAAATTAATTTGTACCATTTCTTGTACATTTTAATAAAAAAAATTTAAAGAAAATAAAACAAAAGAAAAAAATAATTAATAATAATGGAATATTATATGTTAATTAATAATAAAATTACTTACATAAATATGTAATTAATTAATGTATTTTTTGTTTTCAAGTGTTAAAAATATTCATGGCAAACAACAAAATATACCGCAAAAAATTACCAAAATAATTGTTTATGCATGAATTAAAGTTTTAAAACTCAATCGGAAAAAAATTCGAAATACGTATAAAGTATTCAACATTTCTGGTTTGAAAACAAATTACAATCCCTCCATATTATTTCACTTTCAAAATTCACCATATTTTTATAATTTGTGTTGTTTTTTAATTAAATTAAAACGAGTTTATAACTTTTGCTGAAAAATTTCTTTTAAACTTGGTTTGGCAATGTCATTTTAAATTAATATTTTTATTTAAAACAACAGTCCTTGGGGAATTACTGCTTATTTCGATCCGGTATGTATTTTATATCTAAAATATTTGTTTTCGATTCAAATTATAGACTAAACTCCTTAGGGTACTTACTATACCGAGAATTACGGGAACTAAATTAAACTCTTAAAATTAGTATTTTAAATAAAACTTTTGCGAAAACTTACTAAATACTAGAGAAAATAAACATTACTTTTTGGTTTATCTTTTATAGGCACATTGGTTTAACATAAAATTGCGTTTGGCTTCATCTGAGGTAAAATATTGATTATGATAAATATTTGTTGTCATTGTTGTGGTTGTTGAGGAGACATCTAAAAAAGTAAACAATATATTATACAAATTAGATATTTTGAATTTAAACATATTTAGTAAAATTGTAAACATTTGGAAGAAAAAAATCGCAAGTTATACAAATGTTTAAGTTTACTAGTATTTTAAATAACTTGATGCAAACGTCTTTCGAATACTTTATATGCATACTATTCTGAATACTCTTCCAGAGGTAAGGATTATTTTATATGGGTACCAGGCCCTCAGAAGTAGTCGGCAAAGAAAGAGCAAATGTACTAGCTTTAAGGTAGAGAGAACAGTGAAACATTTTCTTTGCCATTTCGATCGAAATTAGATCTAAATATCAATAGACTAGACTATACATAGAGCAGACCATAGACTATACCATAGACTAGACTATAAACTAGTCTATAGACGAGACTAGACTATAGACAACACTATAGACTATCGATTAGATTATAGACTAGACTATAGACTAAACTATAGACTAGACTGTAGACTAGACTATAGACTAGACTATAGACTAGACTATAGACTAGACTATAGACTAGACTATAGACTAGACTATAGACTAGACTATAGACTAGACTATAGACTAGACTATAGACTAGACTATAGACTAGACTATAGACTAGACTATAGACTAGACTATAGACTAGACTATAGACTAGACTATAGACTAGACTATAGACTAGACTATAGACTAGACTATAGACTAGACTATAGACTAGACTATAGACTAGACTATAGACTAGACTATAGACTAGACTATAGACTAGACTATAGACTAGACTATAGACTAGACTATAGACTAGACTATAGACTAGACTATAGACTAGACTATAGACTAGACTATAGACTAGACTATAGACTAGACTAGACTATATAGACTAGACTATAGACTAGACTATAGACTAGACTATAGACTAGACTATAGACTAGACTATAGACTAGACTACAGACTAGACTATAGACTAGACTATAGACTAGACTATAGACTATAGACTAGACTATAGACTAGACTATAGACTAGACTATAGACTAGACTATAGACTAGACTACAGACTAGACTAGACTATAGACTAAACTATAGACTAGACTATAGACTAGACTATACTAGACTATAGACTAGACTATAGACTAGACTATAGACTATAGACTAGACTATAGACTAGACTATAGACTAGACTATAGACTAGACTATAGACTAGACTATAGACTAGACTATAGACTAGACTATAGACTAGACTATAGACCAGACTATAGACTAGACTATAGACTAGACTATAGACCAGACTATAGACTAGACTAGACTAGACTATAGACTAGACTATAGACTAGACTATAGACTAGACTAGACTAGACTATAGACTAGACTAGACTAGGACTATAGACTAGACTATAGACTAGACTATAGACTAGACTAGACTAGACTATAGACTAGACTATAGACTAGACTATAGGCTAGACTATAGACTAGACTATAGACTAGACTAGACTATAGACTAGACTATAGACCTAGACTATAGACTAGACTATAGACTAGACTATAGACTAGACTATAGACTAGACGAGAGACTAGACTATAGACTAGACTATAGACTAGACTATAGACTAGACTATAGACTAGGACTATAGACTAGACTATAGACTAGACTATAGACTAGACTATAGACTAGACTATAGACTAGACTATAGACTAGACTATAGACTAGACTATAGACTAGACTATAGACTAGACTATAGACTAGACTATAGACTAGACTATAGACTAGACTATAGACTAGACTATAGACGTCAAACAGGCAACAGTGGTCTTTGCCCCCGTTATAACGTCTCAAATATAACCAAAAACGGGAATTCCTCTTACTTCAGGATATGATAGCTCAACAACGAAATGTATAACAGGCCCTAACTGTAACTAAAAACAAACAAGTCTATTTTTTTAGATTAATAACTAATTAAATAATATTTAAATTTAAATACCAACATTTTTATATTATGAAGCCGATTATTTTGTTTTCTAACTACTTATCATTCATTCAATATTTACCCACATCCGTACGTATAGGACTGGCCGGTGGTGAGGGTGAATCTAAGGATATAACTTCATTATCTGAAAATATATATAAAATGTGTAAAAATAAATTAATAAAACTTATTTAATAAAATCGCTTATATAGTTAGCGTTTGAAACCATTTCTTTACCTTAGATTTTATAAATACTTTTAACCACGTTATTTTTTTCTTAAAATAAAACAACAATTTTATTTTGTTTTAATGGATATTTTTTATACATATGTTTTCTTTTTTAATGTAATTCATTTTTATTTTATTATTATTACTGAATAATTATTTTGTATTAATTTTTATTCATATTTTCTAGGCTTAACTTATAAGTAAAATGATTTTTTGTTGAATGATATAGTTTTATTTTGTTTTTGGGCTAAAGAAAGAATTTAGATCATAAAACTTAAAAAAGTTATGTAATTTATATACATTTGTTTAGGACTTTTTTCTTTTACTTTTTAAATACTTTTTTTATAAAGTAATTTATTAACTTTTTTTAACAAAAATAATAATATTTATTATGTTTTTATAATGTGTTTTTTTACTTCTTTCTATTTTGTTTTAAATTTAGCTTTTTCCTTTATTTTATTCTTTTTTAGTGAAATATTGTGGTAGAGTTGTTTGCTTACCTCCTAAATTTAATTTATTAGAATAGAAAAGAAGAATAGTCAAAATTAAAAATTTTTATGAAAAAAACAATTTGAAAAAATTAAAAGAATCAAAAATAATACCAACTGAATAGTATTTTTCATATAAAATCAAGATATTGAAATGATTTCGTTACAGCTTTCTTTAAATTATTTAAATTTATATACAATACATAAATAAGTACAGAAATAAATACTTATTTGATATTATTTAAATGTAAGATTTATTTAGAACAAAATTTAAAAACGTCTTATTAAGAACATTTGAAAAGTTAGTTTTTGACTTTATTCAAAACTCTTTGGAATTTTTGAAAAATCATTTAAATTTGCTGAGATATTGCTCATTAAAGACTAGACTATAAACTCTAAAAACTAGTTTATAGTCTGGTCTATAGTCTAGTATATAGTCTAGTCTATAGTTTAGTCTATAATCTACTCTATAATTTAGGTAATAATCTAGTCTATAGACTAGTTTATTGTCTAGTTTATAGTCTGGTCAAGTCAAGTCTATAGTTTAGTCTATAGTCTAGTCTATACTTTTTCTAGTCTATAGTCTAGTCTATAGTCTAGTCTATAGTCTAGTCTATAGTCTAGTATATAGTCTAGTCTATAGTCTAGTCTATAGTCTAGTCTATAGTCTAGTCTATAGTCTAGTATATAGTCTAGTCTATAGTCTAGTCTATAGTCTAGTCTATAGTCTAGTCTATAGTCTGTCTATAGTCTAGTCTATAGTCTAGTCTATAGTCTAGTCTATAGTCTAGTCTATAGTCTAGTCTATAGTCTAGTCTATAGTCTGTCTATAGTCTAGTCTATTAGTCTAGTCTATAGTCTAGTCTATAGTCTAGTCTATAGTCTGTCTATAGTCTGTCTATAGTCTAGTCTTAGTCTTAGTCTATAGTCTAGTCTATAGTCTAGTCTATAGTCTAGTCTATAGTCTAGTCTATAGTCTAGTCTATAGTCTAGTCTATGTCTAGTCTATAGTCTAGTCTATAGTCTAGTCTATAGTCTAGTCTATAGTCTAGTCTATAGTCTAGTCTATAGTCTAGTCTATAGTCTAGTCTATAGTCTAGTCTATAGTTAGTCTATAGTCTAGTCTATAGGTTCTAGTCTATAGTCTAGTCTATAGTCTAGTCTATAGTCTAGTCTATAGTCTAGTCTATAGTCTAGTCTATAGTCTAGTCTATAGTCTAGTCTATAGTCTAGTCTATAGTCTAGTCTATAGTCTAGTCTATAGTCTAGTCTATAGTCTAGTCTATAGTCTAGTCTATAGTCTAGTCTATAGTCTAGTCTATAGTCTAGTCTATAGTCTAGTCTATAGTCTAGTCTATAGTCTAGTCTATAGTCTAGTCTATAGTCTAGTCTATAGTCTAGTCTATAGTCTAGTCTATAGTCTAGTCTAGTCTATAGTCTAGTCTATAGTCTAGTCTAGTCTATAGTCTAGTCTATAGTCTAGTCTATAGTCTAGTCTATAGTCTAGTCTTTAGTCTAGTCTATAGTCTAGTCTATAGTCTAGTCTATAGTCTAGTCTATAGTCTAGTCTATAGTCTAGTCTATAGTCTAGTCTATAGTCTAGTCTATAGTCTAGTCTATAGTCTAGTCTATAGTAGTCTATAGTCTAGTCTATAGTCTAGTCTATAGTCTAGTCTATAGTCTAGTCTATAGTCTAGTCTATAGTCTAGTCTATAGTCTAGTCTATAGTCTAGTCTATAGTCTAGTCTATAGTCCTAGTCTATATTCTAGTCTAAGTCTAGTCCTATAGTCTAGTCTATAGTCTAGTCTATAGTCTAGTCTATAGTCTAGTCTATAGTCTAGTCTATAGTCTAGTCTATAGTCTAGTCTATAGTCTATATAGTCTAGTCTATAGTCTAGTCTAGTATATAGTCTAGTCTAGTCTATAGTCTAGTCTATAGTCTAGTCTATAGTCTAGTCTATAGTTCTAGTCTATAGTCTAGTCTATAGTCTAGTCTATAGTCTAGTCTATAGTCTAGTCTATAGTCTAGTCTATAGTCTAGTCTATAGTCTAGTCTATAGTCTAGTCTATAGTCTAGTCTATAGTCTAGTCTATAGTCTAGTCTATAGTCCAAACTAATTTGACTTCATGGAAATTTGTTGATGGGTAGAAACCGATTTTTAGTCGAATTCGTAGCTCTCTTTTTGAATGGATATAAAATATATATATTATAAGATTCTAGATTCGCAGTGTCATAGAAACTTTTAAACATAACTTTAACTACACAACAGTGGTATTACTTCACTGATAATTCAATTAAAAACAAGATCCTAATTAAAAATTTCTTCCAACTTCCTAGTAAACAGCACATTCTAATTGAAAACACAGCTCTCAAAGTCGAACAAAATGAAGTGGAGGATGTGAATTTAAGTCGAATTCGTAGCTCTTCTTTCAAAATCGAATAACAAGCTATAAAAGCTTTTATAAGGTAGAGTAGGTAATATATGTTTAGCTTTAAAAAAAATTCTTAATAAGACGTTTTAAATTTTTTTAAATAAACATACAAAAAGAGTATACATAATACTAATAATAAGTTCCGGTTTTGGAGAGTAAAAACTTTTTAAACAACTTAGGTTTTACAACTTAGGCTTGTCACAGATTGCAAACAAAGTGTTTTCAACTCCGTTGTTATTATTCCATTTGCTTTATGGGTTCTTCAGATTCCAATACGATTTCACAGGTCAACAACATTTATTTCTCCTCTACATAAGGTTTTGGAGATGTCGTGATACTAGAGATTGAAAAAATCTCTTGGGCTTTACTTTATAAGTTATCTCGTAGGAAGAGGAAGATATACCGCAGGTTAAACTTTTTGACAGACTTGTCTTTTAGTATAGTTTCGGATTCAAATATGAATACTTTGGTTATTGGCTATTAATCTTCAATTGATCAATATTAATTTTCCGTTCTTTGGAGTATTATTGTGATTACAAAGTACTTGAAAGGAGTTTTAAAAGAACCAGTTAAAAGTTTTGGAAAAGATTTTGATTAATACTTTGAGAACATTTGGCAACAGAAACCTCGAACTTATTGATGTCGCCATTACTTCAGGAATCCGTTTTTTACGATTCCAAAGTACATCTAAGGAGTTTTCAAGGAACCAATTCATGTTTAAATCGCAATGAAATTCAGGAACTAGTCAAATTGAATCGTCTTTATTTTTAAAATATTCGAGTATATGTATGTATAATTGCAAAAATATCAACAACTTTTTAAATTACGACCTTCATAACCAATTTTTGTTTTACTTTCCACAACAAGAACAAATCATTATTTTAAAAATTCGTTACAGATTTTGTATATATAAAAAATATAAAATACAACATAAAGATAAGCTAAGGCATTTACTATTTTAAATTATATTTATGAGAATTAAAATTAGACTCTTTATAAACACGATTAATTCATATTACCAGTACGAATTCCATAATAAAATACATACACTATTATTTCCTCAAACTGGATACGAAGTAGACAACGTTTTAGTTAAAAAAAAAAATCCAAAAAAAAATAAATTATTTTTGAAAATAGCAATAAGAAAAATATGAGTAAATAACATAGTAATAGGGATAATAGGCTCAATATGAGAATAATAACAAAATAAATTGTTTATTAAGTGTTTGTAAAATTTATATTAAAATTCTAACAAATTACTTAAATGTTTAAATAATGTTTTTATTTTTGTTTTGTTTTTGTGTTTAGGAATTTGAGTAGTTTTTTTTCTTTTAATTATACTTTTATACATACAATGTATGTATATAACTTATTTAATAATATAATTATAATATAATTACTACATATACACTTCTAGTTTCAGATAATTTTCAATTTAATTGTTTAATAATAATATAGTAAAATAAAAACAAAAATTTAATTATAAAAAAAAATAATAATAAAATAATTTTATACTGTCTAAACATAATAGGAAATTATAATAGAGGCAGATAGTAGTCAAAACATAAATTATCTTCGAGCTGAAAATAAATTATAAAAAAAAACAAACGATTTAAAAAAAAATTAAACAAAATCACAGCACTGGGTAAAAAAAATTCAAATAATATGCTAAAAATGAGAGAGAGAGAAACAGCAACAAAAAAAATGCAACGTATAATTTAAGCATCCAGGCATGGAAAATTTAAATTTTGAAATAGTAGTACCTACATATATAGTACTAAACTAATTTTCGGCTAGACTACAGACTAGACAACAGACAAAACTATAGACTAGGCTATTGATTAGACTATAGACTAGGCTATAGAATAGACTATAAACCAAACTATAGACTAGACTGTAGAATAGACTGTAAACTAGACTATACATTCAACTATAAACTAGAGTATAGACTACACTATGGACTAGACTAAACTGTAGACTAGACTATAGAATATA